TTTTTGCTCAGCGTATATTAAAGTTGTGTCGCCAATTGCGGGTTGTAAGAGGGTTGAGCCTTTAGTCCCAAGCATAACTAGCAGGATTCCAGGCCCCTCCCTCCTTCCCTCAAAACAGTTAGAATAGGGTTTTGTGGCATGTTGTACCATAATTATAATAAGGAATCCCAAAAATGATATAACCTGATATAACCTGGTGATTATTTAGGCCCCTTAGTAAACCCTAAACCCCAAACTCCTCAACGAGTAAGTCAGGGGCCTTCGGCTGACCCAGATCTATCTCGGGCTCCTCACCAGGGTGCAGGAGTTTAGGGTTCAGGAGTTTAGGGTACAGGAGCTTCGGGTTTAGGAGCTTAGGGTTTAGAAGCTTGGGGTTTAGGAAATTAGGATTCAGGGCTGTAGGGTTTAGGAGCTTGGGGTTTAGGAGTGTAGGGTTGAGGGTTAAATGCTTATTTATCCACCTCTCACATACGCAGAATGTCTTGTGCCTGTGGTGGGTATACTATTTTCGTGCAGGCTATTGCCGCATCAGTTTTTCTTCTGGATGCTGTCGGTTATTCCTGCGGTCACATAGCTTCTTTGTTATTTACATTACTGTGCATGATGTTCTTGTCACTATTTCGAGTGCTGACAATGTTGTGGGATGCTCAGAAGCCTTACTGTTGCTAAGACGAGCGTCGTTTCATGACCATTTTGAACATGGCTCTTGCAGCAAGATTGTGGGTGATGCACTATCCGCGGTTTTTAACAGGGTGTGGGGGATGCGCGAAACTATCACATGGGCCGGGCCCTATCCCGGATCATTCTTGCGAACTATGACTGCTTTCGTTGCTGTTGTCAAAGTACATAAGTGTGCAGGGGTCTTGCTTTACCGACTGAAACCGCCAGTTTGCCAGGCGACACCGGCCCGACGCCCCCAACCCTAAATCTTGAACCCTAAACCCTAAACCCTAAACCCTAAACCCTAAACCCATAAAAACTGTAAACCCTCAACCGCAAGCCGAACACCCGACAAGGGCCCTCCCATGGCTTCCTGCTCCAGTTCTTCCTTCACTGTCGCCTGCATGCATGAATCTACGAAGACACAACTGGAATGACAAGGCCTGTGTGCTGCCGCAGCAACTTGCGGTAGACAGATGAGGAGCACTTGGCATAAATGCAGCCTTCAAGCAGTACGAAATACTAGTACGAAAATTGAAAAAATAGCAGGAGCCGCATCTGAAGCTGCGATTGTTGATGCTTGCAGCTTCCGAAATCAAACCCTGCAAGACCGAGGCTTGGTAGACAGACATCAAAAACCCCAAGAAGTTCCCCTAGAGGTCGAGCCCCCCACACCCTAAACCCTAAACCTAAGCCCTAAAGCCCGCGAGTCCATGAAGCCTTGCAACCAAGGACACACCACGGACTCATTGAGGGTCTCACTCCTAACGTTTACGACATCCTGCCGGGCTACGCAGCCCCAATCTTTAGAAGATGTAGGGCTTTTGCTTTTAGGGTTTTTAAGTCTAGTGGCTTTTTCTGCCTTTTTGTGCTTTTAGTGTTTGGGACGTAGGGTTCGGGTTGAAGAATCATTCGAAGCCCTTCGGGGCTTAAGGGCACAGGATCTTATTATTCGGGCTTGGGGCTTGCAGGGGGGCAGGGCGGACTTCAGCCCTGAACAACTAAATAGCCCCGGGCCCGAAGTCTCTAAACCATGCAGGGTTTAGGGTTTAGGGTTTAGGGTTTAGGGTTTAGGGTTTAGGGTTTAGTGTTTAGGGACAGCTAAACCTCTAAACCCTAAACCGCTGATTCAGCTCAACAACCGATTAACCCCCTAGACCCTAAATGCCAGCCTCAGGCGGAGGTGGGGGCGGCTTGGCCAAGAGTTTCGGGGAACCTGGAGAATCAGCTGACATCGGGGTTTCTTCACTTAGGGTTTAAGGTGTAGTCACGGCTCCCAATATGAAGAAGCAAAGAGAAGCCAACGGTCCAGTGCTGCTGAGAGGAGGTGTGGTTCATCGTACCTATCCAACTTGAGGGATGCCAGGTCCGTGGCTGGAGGGTCGATCCAGCGACCCAGCCGTCACACGTGGAGCTTCGAGCCGCAACCGTGAAACTTGAAAACACTTGCCCTACTACAGGGGCCTTGACAATTTGAACAGGGCTTTGGGGCGTGTGATCGGACAAGAAGTCTGTTCGGGCAAAGGAAACTAGAGCGCTTTTGCCTCACCTGTGATTTTTCAAGCCGTAGTATAACTATATCTAGAAAACACTAATTAAGCCGTAAAACCCTAAACTCCTAAACCCTAACCCCTAAAAACCAAGGACGAATATCGGTAGTTCTTCAAGCCCCTACGTTAGGCTTCATCATCCCGGCTTGTTCTCCCCGGCTTGTTCTCAAGACTTCACGCGCAGAAAGATCACGGGGGTTAGGGTTTAAGGATTAGGGCTCCAAGGGTTTGGGTTTAGGGTTTAGGGTTTAGGGCTTAGGGTTTAGGGTCTAGGGTCTAGGGTTTAGGGTTTAGGGTTTAGGGTTTAGGGTTTAGGGTTTAGGGTTTCAGGTTTGTGTTTTGAGTGCAGGGTTTGGGGTTCAGGTGTTTGGGGGTTTTGGCAACCCGGAACCTCGTCTTTCACAGCCTACTATCACCACAAACATCCCCATTCTTCTGTGCACTACAATGATTATAATCGGTGTTAACCTTACGAATAGTACCGGCAATAGAAACAACAGGTTTCCTATATTGATGTTTGCGTTACTTGTTGTGTCACAAATACCACAGTTGTGATTGCAAGTGCTGTTGATGACTTCTTTCGAAACTGACTTGCCTGATATGGTCCTAAACCCTAACCTCCAAACCCTCAGTTCTGAAAAAACCTAAACCCCAAACCCTAACCTCCAAACCCTCAGCTCTGACAACACCTACAACATGTATTCGGAAAAGCCTCTTGGCCGCGGCGGAAGGACCAGTCTACCCTGGCACGTTTAGGGTTTGGGGTCTTGTCCGGTTTTGGCAGTTTTTGGATGAGGCGGAGGGTTTGTCGCAAGTCCTAAACCCTAACCCTATACCCGAAATCCTAAGCCAGTAGACCCTCAATCCGAAAACTTCTTGGAGTGTTGGCAGTCTGGCCGTGGAGTTGTGGAAAGTACACCGCTTACGAACCCAATCATGCGACACACAGGCACACAAGATTTTTTAAATTTAGCTTCGAAGTCTTCGGAGAATGCAGACTTGGCTTCGGGTGCGAACGTGGCTGGACAGAATCGGCTAACTCGGCACAACCGCAAAAAAAAAAACAACTCCAAAGAAATCGCCGCTTCGTCATAGTATAAAATCCGTACCATTCAGAATAGGGTTTTCAGGCATGAAGATGTTTTTTAAACTCCGGCTTCCCAGGACCCTCCAAGTACCCTCAAACAGGGGTATATGGTCCCAAAAAAATGGCATTAGGGTCTAATAGAGGGTAGATGGAGGGTCTAGCTCTAGATTATCCCAAACTTGTCACATGCAGAGCCTTCGCCGCAGGGCTCGGAGACGAAGCCTCCAAGGGATGGGCATTGATTCCGTTAAAAACTCGGGGCCCTGAAAGTTTAGGGTTTGGGGTTTAGGGTTTAGGGTTTAGGGTTTGGGCTTTGGGGATTTTGATACGATTATGCTGTGAAGGATATCAAGGCCTAGATATGGGGATACTACTACCACCACTGACCCCTACGTTCTCCTACGGCTGCGGGTGATCCAAGAGATTGCTGCCTGCGCCCCCCTGAAGGTCCCCTAAACCCCAAGCCCTGAACAATGGTTGTGCTAACATCATCGCATCATCTGCCGTGATACTTAAGAATAGGGTTTGAAGTACATTATATGAGGTAATGATAGGAACCCTTGGCCCTAAAAGACGGAACATCGGTGACCGCTGCATGATGCGAGCGCACTGCAGATGAGCTCGAACGATTTCAATCATTCCCCCCCCCCCCGGTTCGCACTTCTTGGATGCAGCAACGACGGAAAACTAAAGAATAGGAGCGCATGCTGCTGCAACCGATGCAGGTTAAGGTCAGAACATATTATGAAGGAGAAGAAGACACCGTTGAGGCCCGCAACACATCTATATCCAATAGTTCACAGCGCAGAGCCTTTAGGACACTCTGGGAGTTGTGTTTTGCAGGCTCTGCATGTGGGAACTGATCATGGAGACTTCGACTCACGAAAGGAAGTGGTCTGTCTCCCTCTTCTCAGCCGTGAACCCCAAACCCGCCTTCGGCGCAGGTGAGGTAGCCTCTGTCGAGGCTAGGGACGAGTATTACCAATCACTATGATTCAGGCTTCAATAGTACACGGTTCGAGCCGTGGAACTCAATCCGCTTAGGGAGCGTTGGCTGGGGCTGTCTCTTAGCCGGGCTTCATCAGGCACCATATACGGACAGACGGTGGCTTTGTTTGCTGTTGGTTTGTCCTTCCGTTCCGACTTAATGGCACGGATTTAGATTTGCAGTCCGTCTTCAGAGTCTTAGATGTCGCAGCTTTTGGGCGCAAGCCTTTCCATGCAATCCTCGCTGCCCAACAACACTCAGTGGACTGCAAGGCTTTCGAAGTGCATGCTGACGCACTGTGTCCGAGAGCGCCTTCAGCGCAGGAGGCGCCACTGCCTGGTGAGGGTCACAAGCATCAAGAAGCATGAATTTATGTTGGACTCTTGGCCTCTCTGGAATTTCGATGCTCTGGACGGAGAAACAGCAATGGCAATGATGATGACTATGATGTTGCTGACGACATTGTGAATGATGATGATGATGATGATGATGATGATGATGATGATGCTGCTGCTGCGTACCATGGTGTAGATGTTGATGCGACGACAAGCATAAAACGAAAAAGATTTGGTCGTCTTCGCAGCCATACAGCAGCTAAGATCGCGAACGCAAAGCCCTGATTGTGCATCCACTTATACTATTGTCTCTAAGCTTGTAGTATAAAACATCGAAAAAAGCCCTCTTCGAATGAGTAAGCGCCCCATGTTCAGTATCATATACCCGAGCAACCCTCTTCCGACCATGAATGCCCCCTAATCGGGACCTCGGCAGCCCGCCGATCGGCTCCAGCTCGCTTGGCCTTCGGGCATTCAGCGGTCAGCATTCCCTTATACGGAGCGAGCAGTGTGGAGGATTTAGGGTATAAGGGTGTAGAGCTGCAGGGGTTTAGAGCTTGAGGTCTAGGGTTTTGGGGCTTTAGGACTTTGGGGTTGAGGGATTCAGGTCCTTGGCCCACGGGTTGACGTGCAACTTTCGCTTGCAAAGACACAAATTACAAAAGGAAGTTGGGCGCATGGTCGCTTCAGGGTTGCAAAGAGAAGCCAGCCGGGTTTCGTTGAAGGCCACTCTAGGGAGGGTTTGTGCCACAGAGCAACTTGCAGACGTTTGCAGTAGGGGCAGAGTCCCCACAAGCTTCTCTCCTAGATGAAACACAGAATCGAAGCCTTGAATCGCACGATATACGATTCCACAACTTCTCTTGCTTGTGTCGCAGGACGCAGTACAGAAAACACATGTTAGTGTGTAATGTCTCTACCTTCTCTACATTTTTAGATCTTCGGCCTGGGCATCGGAATTGAATATCATGCTGCGTGTTCTCCTTTTTTGGTAGCACCAGACCTCGACGACCTAGGAACGGTCAGGATGAATACAGAGTGTAGGGATGAGGGTGTCGGGCTTAGGGGTTTAAGTGTTCTGGGTCTCTCAGCCCTATAATAATCGTGCTACATCGTGCTGTATCGGAAAGGGACTACTAATAGGATCGGGATATGCATACCCCCAAAAGCCCCTAAACCCTAAAAAAAAACCAGAGAGAACAAACAACGAGTCGTTGCCTCGAGCTGCTTCATCTGGGACTTTGCCTTCTCAAACAGCTCCTGGAAGCTCCTGCATGGGTTGGATCGGGTGTGAAATTCACACAGAAGTTTGGAGGGTTTAGGCGTTTTAGGGGTATAGGGCTTAGGTTTTAGGGTTTAGGGTTTAGGGTTTTAGGGTTTAGAGGTTTAGGGCTTAGGGCACAAGGAGTACGTAGGCAGCCATAACCCTATGAGCCGAAACAGTAAGCCCAAACCCTCAGCCGAATCCAAGCCCCTACAGTCGCAACCAGGCTCCAACTGGTATTTCAACCCCAAACCCTGAACTACCCTGAACCCTAAACCCTAAACCCTAAACTACCCTGAACCCTAAACCCTAAACTGCCCTGAACCCTAAACCCTAAACTGCCCTAAACCCTGAACCCTAAAACCTTAAAGTCCTGGGGGCCGGCTCTTCGGGAGGTGGTGCTTTCGGCGCCTGCACCGCAAGGTGTCGCAGGAAGAAGGGGAACAGGAATGGTTTGGGGTTTAGGGTTTAGGGTTTAGGGCTTAGGGTTAACTAGGTTTTTGTTACTGACCTCAGGGCTTAGGATTAGCCATGCGTGTAACCGGGTTCTGGAACAGATTCATATGATTAACATGTCATCTTATGGGGACTGTAAAGGGCCCAATAAAGGGGGCCTGAGTACTCATTCAAACACACTGAATTCTCGGGTCTAGTGCTTCAGGACTAGAGGCCTGTGTCTTCGGGGTTTATAGGCCCTAAACCCTAAAGCCTAAACCCTAAACCTAAACCCTAAACCCTAAACCCTAAACCCTAAACTCTAAACCGTGAGGGCCTAGATCTACAGGACTTGAGGCCCTCTGAATTAATTTCGCAATTCAGGGATGTGGCTTACGCCTGGGCCCGACCCTACACCCGAAACCTAAAACCAAGACGGCCCTGTTTAGGGTTTAGGGTTTAGGGTTTAGGGTTTAGGGTAAGTTTGGCGAGTTTGGCGCTTTCGCAGCTCTGCACATCGACTTAACCGTTTTAGCATCTCAGGAGCAGTTTTATCCTTGAGGGGTGTAGCAGTGTAGCGGGCTCAAGCACTGAGGGTGCAGGATGGGCCATTTCGGCTTTAGGGCTGAGGTTAAGGGCTTTTTGGGTTGAAGGGCGTGAGTTTAAGATTTTGCGCTTAGGGCTCCCAGGCCTTTGAACCCTCAACCCTAAACCCTGAACCCCAAACCCTCCATCTCTAAAAGTCCTTATAAGCTCCATAACGACATCTAGAAATCCCGAAAAACCTGAAAACAAAGTCCGTTAAACCAACACAACAATCGTTAAAATCCCGGAAAATGGAGTCGCTACCTCGGCCTTCGCCGCGGGCGCAGGGCCAAAGGCAGTGAAGGGCTTCGCCGGAGCCGGGGGCGGTGCCGCAGAGGAGCTTGGGCCCTACCGGGGCTGTTTGAGGAGCTTCGGAGTTTAGGACTTAAGGGGTTTAGGGCTTCGGGGGGGTTTAGGGGGGTCAGGGCTTGGGGCTTTGGGGGGCTTAGGGTTTGAGGTTCGGGGGCTCGGGTTGAGACTTGAGGCTTCTAAACACTCGTAGAGATTATATGGGCGTAGCATGCCGAGGTGCTCTTACGCGAGTTCTGTTCAAGATGGGTCCGCCGAGATTTCCACCAAACCGACTAGCCATGATTCAAGCGAGCCGGCTCAACTTATGCAACCGTCGGTTCTTCAAAATCTTGTGAATTTAGTCCAACTGCGGTAGATTATGTACATATGTATATGTTGGTTGAACTCATCGGAAGAATGCTTTGCCATTGCACCCATATCCTATTCTTGAGTGGGCCGTTTGCTGCGAGTGTGGGGTGTTTGTGGGATAGAAGCGGGGCGATATTATAAAACGAAAAGCGGCAAAGCCCTCTGCTGCAGAGCATAGGGCTGCTCATGCCGCTGAGGGTTCAGGATTCGGGGACCTATCGCTCTTCTCAACAAGCTTGGGGACTGGGATTGAAGGGCCCATGCCACACCTGAGACAGGTCTTGCGGTTTCCCGGCATAGTCACCGTAACGGGTGTCATCATACTTTGCAACAGCTGCAATAAGAAGAAACAATGTGATTACTATGGACAGGATGACGATGACGATGATGATGACG